GACTTCAGAGAGGAAGGGAGAGGGAGAGAGAGATAGGAACATCAATGATGAGAGAGAATCAATGATCAACTGCTTCCTGCATGCTCCACATGAGGAATCCAGCCCACAACCCGGGCATGTGCCCTGACCGGGAATTGAACCCTGACCTCCTGGTTTATAGGACAATGCTCAACCACTGAGCAACACCAGCCAGGTGGGAACAAAGACTTTAAAGAGCATTAAAAAATATATACTTTGAGGGGAAGGTATAAATAAGCAGAAACAAATGCATGATGCAGGACCATCAAATTTATTTTTTTATTTTTTTAAAATATATTTTATTGATTTTTCATAGAGAGGAAGGGAGAGGAATAGAGAGTTAGAAATATCGATGGGAGAGAAACATCGACCAGCTGCCTCCTGCACAACCCCACTGGGATGTGCCCGCAACCAAGGTACATTCCCTTGACTGGAATCGAACCCGGGACCTTTCAGTCCACAGACCGACGCTCTATCCACTGAGCCAAACCGGTTTCAGCAGGACCATCAAATTTAAAGTGACACCTCTCTATTATTAACCGGCAATTTCTCAGCAAAGTAAAACCTGTGAGCTGATCCTGGGAAAACGCCAGTTCTATACACAAGCTATTTAATTTTTCTGGATATGGTGTAAAATAACTGTTAAAGCTATAAAAGATACCATATGGCGCCAAAGGAATGGGGGGAAAAGTTTTTTTGTGTTTTTTTTTTTTTTTTTTTTCCGGTATTGTTACTTGATGAATAGTTATTTCTCTATTCTCCTTAAAAAAATAAAGGTACCATTTAGGAGAAAAATCTCAAAAGTGTCAAGAAGACATATCCAAAATGGAAAGAAAGTTGAAAAGATAAATACAACGAGCATTCCTTTAACTATATTTGGCGGAGTCCTGCAGAGAAAAAAATTCCGGAGAGGCAGCATTGAGACATAGTTTATTAATGTAGTTTCTCCCACAGCAGGACATAGAGACATTGGTAAAACAATCACATAAAAAAATTATGATTGTTACCTCTGATCTTTATGAGTGCACAGAAAAGGAACTGTCCTCTTGAATTGTCCTTGGGCCACCTTGAGGCAGAGATTCAAAGAATGGTTTCCCCTCCCAAGGCCCACAACAGCACTACTTGCTCACACGTGGTCAGGTCAGACAGAAAGCGATGGCTCGTGTTTTGCGCAGTGTAGACTGAGCAGCACTGATGACTTGAGATCAGATCAGAGGGTCACACCTGGCAATGGGAAGTAGAGGAAGAGAAGGAAGAGAATAAAAATGGGATTGAATATGGAAAGTGTGTTGCATATGCTGCCGTGTGAAACTTTGATTTCAGCCCTATGAGACTGTGTGTGTGTGTGTGTGTGTGTGTGTGTGTCCGTGCTGGGTCACAATGTAAAGTCTTTGACTTATTGTGAGTTCTGGTAGAAAAACCAACAAACAAGAAACTGGAAAGTTACCAGTCAAATCAAACACCTCCCATTCCAGGTAAGACACTGGGAGCCAGAGAGGGGAAATGACTTTGCCAAGTCACACATGAGTCAGGCGTGGCCCGGGTCTCTTGACTATCCTCTAATGATCAGTGTACGCTTGCAGTTGGGTGTCAACTGTGCCTTGTGGTTTCCAGAACACCTTGGCAGCTTTCTATTCCCTTCTGGAGCAATGCAAGTGGACTCCGTTCCCTCCTCTACTGCCCTTTCAGACCTTATACCACATGGGATAGAGGTTCTGTGGGATGGGACAGATGTGTGGAGAGACAAGTAATGAGTGCCCAGGTTCGGATCTTCCTGGACTATTGAGTAGCTCAGAAAACGCAAATTCCACCACTGATGAGATTCGTGAGAAGCTGATGAGATACAAAATAGAATCACAGCCTCTCTGTGAAAAAGAGGGGGTGCATGTGATGACGCATATTGAGGGTATTCTCAGGAAGGAGGCAACCAGCTGATAGTTGGGCTTTAGGTAATTCCTGCCAGACTCAGGTATGTATCTTCCTGGGCCAAAATCGAAGTAGGTAGAGTCTTCTGTGACTGCAGAGATATGGCAGAATTATGAAAAAGGTTCCTTTATAAGTGCCTCTGGTTTTGACTTAGAGGAGGAAAGTGTCTGCCCCGCCAATAAAAAAGCACTTATATTGAAACCGGTTTTACTCAGGGGATAGAGCGTTGGTCTGTGGGCTGAAGGGTCCCAGGTTTGATTCTGGTCAAGGGCATGTACATTGGTTGTGGGCACCCAGGGGTGTGTAGGAGGCAGGTGATCGATGTTTATAGCTCTCTATCCCTCTCCCTTCCTCTCTGTAAAAAATCAATAAAATATATATATTTTTAAAATAAAATAAACAAGCACATCCATTGCATATACTATGTGCCAGGCCCTGTTCTGAGGATATCACAAATATTTACTTGTTTAATCCATATAATCAACCTCTCAGCCTCAGAGCGCTGCTAGCCACCGTAGCGGGCAGAAGGTTGAGAAGTGTTGAGATGTGCTAGAATAATTTGTTTTGCTTCCTGATTCAGGAGGGCAAGTATCTTAATAGAGTTTAGAACTATGTCACTGACAATGTGAATTAATCCAACAGTCAAATCCACGGAGAAAAGGTCAACTGCCTACTTTCTCTTGGCAGAAGGAATTGGGAGGATTGTTCTTCTTGCAAAGATTCATCACCTTTTGATGCTTTCCAGAAGTGGTGATGAATTTGCAAGGAGTTATCTACTTTTAATAAAACCGCCGCATATATTTGTCATTTAACTCCCTGGTGCAGAATCTGCTTTAGATCCTGAAACAGACCCACCCAAGCCCATGTCGAGGCCAAACCCGTGCCCTTGGCCTTGTGATCTAGGGCTTTCCATAGTGCTAGATGGGGGAAGGGGCCTCAATGTGTTGAATTAATTTATTGTCACATTTCAAAAACCGAACCTGACTTTAAAAACTGCTAGATTTGGTTTTGATGATGAGAATTATTCATCAAAGTGTACTGAAGTGTAAGAAGGGCAAGAGTTTTATTAAAGAGAATTAAGAAGTGAGTTGTTTTGTTCTTTTTAAATACTTATGAGGTGCCCTTATGTTTTATATGTTAGCATTTAAATTCCACCCTACTCTGATCGAATCTCCATTTCGTAGACGAGGAAACTAGGTTAAATGACTTTGCTGAAAGTAAATAGGTGAGGGGCAGAATTCAGAATATAGTCTCTGCAGAACCCATTACTATTTCCACATCATGCTGCAGTCTGGAAGCTTTATTTCCCCCCGACTTCACCTGCAAAATGATTTGGCCCTAGCAGCATCCACTGACCATGGCAAAACTCTAATTGATCTTTCTGTCCCACAGCCTGCCGATTCTCCACAAAGAACAAGCAAGTTAAAACCTGTTCTCTGTAATTAAGTCTTGGTTCCCTTAACAACCCCACCTTGTAATTAAACTTACTCTCCAACGGGCAAATACGGTTCACTGCAGAATCTAAGAAGTCATTTAAATTATGCTCAGTTTCTTGTTCTGGGTCACCCACGGTCAAGTCTGGGCTTGGAGCTGAAGCTGAGGAGGAATGTGAATGCTGTTGGCCCAGAACTCACCAGCGCAGAAATGAGCTGGGGAGTCTGGGTGTATTTCCTGCACAATCTGTGAAACTTCGGAGTTATCTCTGGTCATTGTTTCCCTCGATGACCATGCATGGTAAAAATGCAGGTTGCTCAATAGTTATCCTTCCTTGGAGCAGCCTTCGTGGACTCAGGCAGCAAATCTCGGAGAGTTATTCATTGGTTATCAGAAATGGAAAATGTTTCTTTTTGAAAGGTAATTATCGAAGGTCTCTAATGTTGTATTGAAAAAAGATATATTTGTCATTATCAGTACATGGTGGCTATATGGTGGGAAAAAATTGGCTATCACTACAAAGTTTATGGATTCTATTTTTTTTTTTTTCGGTTGAGATAAGATTTGGCTTAGCATAAGGCACAGAAACATAAGGTGGCATTAAATTGTGGTTAAGTTACACGCTGTGTTGCCACGCAGAGTGAGGAGGGAACCCACAGAGATTTAATATCTTTAGGAGTCTATAAAACTCCAGGTTTATAAATACTAGTCAAAGAAAACATTTCACAGTAAACAAAGGTTTACTTTTGAGTTAAAGGTCTTTACATAAAAAAAGATCAGAGGCAAGATCGCATGGACCCAGATATCCAATAAAATGCCAAGATAAACCACCAATGGGCTGTAACACAAAGAGCCACCTTTCCCCTCCTCCAGGGGTCAAAAGAAGTTTAAGCCAATCCAAAAACGATTTTCTAAATTTCAAGTCCCCAAGAAGCCTAGCCCAAATGTCAAACACAAGGCACTGCACACTTTTTTTCATGGTCTCACCATAGCTGCTCCAAGGGGACCGTGCTATTACTACCTAGAAAAATAAACAGCACACTCTCTTCACAGAGCTGGATGCGGAGTCCAGATGTTGGAGATTATGATCTGGACGCAGTGGAATTTATGCCAGGAGATTAAAGAGGAGAATTAATTTATGACTTTCTCTACCTGTTCGCAATGTGTTCAGCTTATTATGGGTACACGTTGGGATACACAGTAATTACGATGCTGAAAACAATGTGCAACATGTGACCCCTGTAGTTAAGTTTATAAAGGGGGGATTTGTCATATTGTAGCATGCACATCTGGTTCTATCATAGTTGCCACATGATTAATATAGTAATATATTACAGTGAAATCCCTTTATATCAAAGTTTTATTTGCCAGGAAATAGAATACTTTTCCTCTCTCTCTCCATCTTCCCCCACAGGCTCTGCTGAAACCTGAAATTTCCAGCACTAGGGTTCATCTGAGTGAGAACAGAGAATCTGTCCTTGTCCTTGTTCAATTCTATAAGTGTCATAGTCACAACTGGGGTTTTAAAAGCACTTCCTTAAAGGAGAAACCCTAAAACTCATTCTAAAACCAGACAGGGCATCAGCTACCTCCAACCGTTAAAACCATCAGGGATTCCATTCTAAATTTTAAACTCCCTTTTATTGAAATATAAGTTTGTTTAGTATATTTACACCACACTTTATCACCTATATACATAGTAGGCAAATCTTGTCAAATAAAAAAAGGTTTTTTCCCCCCCTCAATACAAAATTAAAATAAAAACAAAGTAAAGTGCAAGAAACTGATTTTTCTTCTTCTGGTGAACATCATCATTGTCAAAATTTTGGTCGATTGGGGCGGGGAGGAAGGGGGCGAAATGAATTCTGTGACTCAGTGCACACAGACAGCCAGTCCCACATCTGCAGCCTTCCGGCCAAAAACGAAAAGCAGTCAAGAACAAGTCAGATGCACAGAGTCTGCAGGACTCCCCAGGTCCTGGGTGGAGGTCCTGATCTCTTTGTCTTATCCGGATCCATTCCCCAGCTCTTAACAGTGATCTCACCATCACCAGCTGGAACAAAGGGAGAACACAGGGAGGGGGCTCCACCAGCCAGTGTCACAGCCGCCTCTGGCCGCCAGCGCGCTGTGTTTGGTAGGAAACTGCAGAAAGAATTAGCCCCAAGGCTCAAACAGAAGTTTCCCTTTTTGGGAAAAGGGGAGGAGGAGAAGGTCGAGGAAGAGGATGCATCTCCCACAGAGACAGCCACCAGGAGGGCCAAACTCAGCAGCCAGCTTCTTCGATCCCAACTCCCCGCTGCCCCCAGGGGAGCATTCTTTCACAGGCTGGGTGGAGGGGCTGTCACACGTCTCATCCGGGCGAGCTCTCCCAGAACTTTGCAAGGAAACAGCTTGAAACTGAGAGAAAGGGGCAGGTGGGTGAAAATGAAGTTTTTTAGCAGCCTTCTTGCTCCAGCCACTGGCAGGGCGTTGGCTGACAGGTCCCAGGCGGTGGCAGAGGCGACAAGCCCTTCCCCCAGCATCCATTCCCCCAGCCAGAGGGTTTCTCTCTCCTCTCTCTCTTCCTCGGGGTGATTGATGCTAAGTCCCAGGTCTGCGGCCGTACTTGGCCTTACAGTGCAAAATGTGCTTGGCAAGGAAGTCCAGGCGGCGCTGTAGCAGCTGAGCGTGGGGCTGGGCGAGCTCCGCCAGCTCCGGGAAGCGAGGCTCGTGGTGCCGGTAGAGGCGCAGCAGCCGGGCGGCCGCGTCCCGGCCCCGGTGCAGCTCCAGGACGCGCCTGGCTGTCCGCTCCCGGAACACGCACACCGACTGCAGCAGCGGCTCGTTGTACTTGTCCCACATGCCCGCCACCCGGTAGCCGTGCACCAGGCCCGCCTCGTTGTCCAGGAAGACCAGCGCCCCGCCGGGGCCGCGGTGCAGGTTGCTGGTGGCGCGCTGCATGACGCGCGGGTCCCACTGCAGGCTGAAGAGGTTGCTGACCAGCCGGTCGAAGTTGGCCGTCAGGTAGTCAAAGAGGATCAGGTCGGTCCACTGCACCAGGTCCACCAGCTCCTCCCGGCTGCGGTTGGCCAGCTCGCCCCCGGCGGCGCGCAGGGGCCGCAGCTGGCCGTCCTCGGAGCGCCAGGGCGCGGGCACCACCACGTCCGTGAGGTTGGGCAGCCAGCGCGTCAGGCTCACCACGCTGCCCTCCGCCCAGTGCGCCGCCCGGAGCTCCTCCTGCACCCGCGCCCACTGCGCGCCCCGGGCCTCCACCCGGGCCAGTGCCAGCGGCGGCACGTGGCGCCGGAGGCCCAGCAGGCACGCCAGGTAGTAGGACAGGGCCTCGCCCTGGATCTGCTCGGGGTTGATGCCGTAGCGCACGCAGGCGCGGGTGCCGTCGGCGAAGCGCGCCAGGCGGTTGGAGCTGCGCCCGCACCCGCCGCGCTCCAGGGCCACCACCCGGGCGCCCCGCGCCGCCTGCAGCCACGCCGCCGCCTGCGCCTCCGAGAAGCCGCGGGGCACCTGCTCCTCCAGGCCGCGGCTCCAGAAGACGCCCCCGTGCACCGCAGCGAGCTGCTCCCCCTCCGGCCGGGGCACCCCGTCGGGCACCCGCCGCCTGCGCTCCGCCCCCGGGGGCCGCCGCCGGGCAGCGGGACCGTCCGCGCCGGCCGCCAAGGTGAGCAGCGTCCGGAAAGTTTTCAGGGAGGCGCCCCGGGGGTCCCGCTGCGGGGAGCGGGGCGCGGACTCCGAGCGCCGCGGGGTCCGGTCTTCGGGCGGCGCCAGGAGCCGGCCCCACAGCGCCAGCAGCGAGCCCAGCGCCAGCAGCCAGAGCCCCGCGGAGGCGGCGGCGCCCCGCATCCTCCTGCCCATGCTGCTTCCCGCCGCCGCTTCAGGACGACCAGCCCGGGCGCCCGGGTCCCGGCGGCGAGGGCGAGGCGGGCCCGGCGGCGGCTCGGCTCCCGGGCTGCGGGCGCTGCAGCCCCATCGCGGCCGCGGGGCGGTGCGGAGCGGAGCGGAGCCTCTCCGGCGCTGGGAACTGGCCGCGCCGCCGCTTCCCAGCTGCTTTTGTATTTCGCTGTGAGACCCTCCGGCGGGCGCGATTCACAGGCGTCCGGACCACGTGGGCGCGGGGGATCCCCCTCCCCCTCCGCCGCCGCCGCTCCCGCCCCCCACTCCCCCGCCCCCTTCCCCTCCGCTCCCCTTAAAGCGGCGATGGCTTCTGCCGAGAGGCAGCCCCGCACTGGGTTGGGGACCGAGGGGCGGGGAGGAAGCCGGGCCGGCGGGGCCCGCGCGGGGGGCGGGGCGGAGGAGGGGGCGGCGCTGAGCTGGAGTCCGGCCGGGTGGGAGGGACGCGCCCCCGCCCTTGCGGGGGGGGGGGGGGGTTTGGAGTGGTCGCGGGGTGTCCTGGCTCCGGCAGGGCCTGTCCTCCTCCAGACTTCGAACTAGGATCAGGGCGGGTCCCCTTGCTTTCTCCATTACAGAGGGTGTGATTCACTCAGCCTTATGTAAACCTCTGGGAATTTCTCCGAGCCTGGGAGGATGTGACTCCAGAGGGTGGGAGAAGTATTTATAGCCAACAGCTTGGGACCCACGGCCACTCTCCCCGAGCGCGCTCATCTCCACCGGCCACTGTGCTGTGAGGTGGGTCGCTCTGCCTTTTTTTGTGTGTGTGCCCATGGAGCATTTAGGTCAGCTCCATTCATTCCCCCATCTATGCCACAGAGTCTGCCCTGGGTTCTGGTCTCCGTGAAATCCACAGATCGGGATCCCTGAGCTCATGAAGCTTATATTACATTCTAGGTGGGGGCGTTCAAGTTGCTATGAGAGCATGATGGCCCAGGATTAGACCTAGGGCGGGAGGTGGGAGTGTGTGTGTCCAGGACGATTTCTCCAAGGAAATGATACTATTCTGTGAGAAAATAGGCACAAAGCAGGGATGGTGTTTGCTCAAGATCTCACAGTTAGCAAGTGGAGAAACTGAAATTCTAGCTGGGGTCTCCTGGCAGCACGAGCTTGATTTTCCCTCCATTAAACAAGTTCCATATTTGTATCAAGTTGTTATCTCTCTCCCCCCCTCCTCTCTCATTTAGCCAATCACTTTATTCCCAAAATGTGATTTTTCAGTTCAACAAAGAAAATCCCCATATTGCATTTTACTTAATCGTATAACGGTTTAAGGGGGGTGGGGGGACGGATGGTTGGAGGAGGGAATGGAGGTGCAAAGACTAAGAAAACAAATAAGGAGACAACAGATCACATTGTCTTCCGGACACCTTTGAGCTCAATCTACCAGGAAAAGCCTTAGGTAAGAATGGGGGTCATTCCTTCCCTCTCTGTGCCAGCCTGTGTCCCAGAGCCAAACCCCAATTCCCAGGTAAGGCTCATGCTTGCTGATGGGGATAGAACCCACTTCCTGAAAGCAGTTTTAAATTTGTTTCCTTACCTGTATTTCTTTTCTCTCTTTTTATCCCCATCAACTGCCCACGCGGGTCATCAGCGGACACTGCGTGTACTTTATTCACCAAAGAATGAATAATGCTCTGGGAACACACCCTCATTTTGTGGCTGAGCAGAGGCATCCGACCACACCGAGGGCCTTCCAGCTGTGACCCGCTGGACTCCCAGGTGTTTCCATATTGATCTTTGCTGCATCTGTTCTTCACCACATTGTGGCTATATCATTCCCTTTTCATAGATCTTATCTGATGATGATGAGATTGCTGCTGCTCCCATATGGGTCCCGTCTTCCTGCTCTGTGCAGCTCCTTACCCCTAACTTTCCCTAGAGGGCAGGGACTATGTCTTATCAACTTTCTATTTTTCTCAACACCTAACATGGTATATTACACCGGAGAGAGGCTCAATATGTTCAATTTTAATTTTTTGACTCTGATTAGCTTCCGCTGAGAATTTTTTTCTTGCTTGCTTGCTTGCTTTTTTCCTTTTTTTTGAATTCTTTGCTTTCAGCTTGGGTAAACTGTAAGCAAGATCTCCACCTTGTGGGCAGAAGTAGAATATCATCTAATTAGAGAAAAGCGCACACATTTTAAAGGAACATTTCATTGTTTAAGTTAAATTCTGAGACTATTGTGTGGCTACTATGGCTCACAGCAGGTGCTAGGTTCTGTGGGGGACTTCACAGTAGTTGGTGTCTCTGTCTTTTTAGCTGTTAACAAAAGCTGTACATAACCGAAGGGATAGTTCCATGTAAACCCCATGAGGAGTCTGTCTTTTCTGTTGTTTTATGGCTTCCTGACACAATGCCTGGCTCTTAGTGGGATTCATTAACAATTTGCTAAATAAGGAATTGGAATGTTAATGAGATGAAGCTCTGCAAGTGTGGTATTCATTAAATCTTTTTTAAAAAAATCTTACTACAAAAGGATACAAAATAACTTCCATTTATTTTAAGAGGAAAAAACATATCAATAAAGACTCCCCTTAACGTAGGAGGAAGTATATGTTTTTCAGTCTGAGAAGACTGGTCTCAAACCTGGATATCCCATCTACCAGAATCTTCTAATCATATGATTGGTGCTGATGAAGAAACTGAGTCTTAAAGAAGTCAGCTAAGATCTCACAGCTCAAATGACAGGTTGACGATCAGAGAATCTTTGCCAGGCCTGAATGCACGGTGTATCAGAACAGGATACCCTAATAGGAACTTGGTCAAGTTCGTTAACATGCAGAAATACAGAAAAACAGAGTAACAAGTCAAAATCAAAAACAAACCCAATGAGAAATGTAGTTTTAAGGTGGCATTTGATTATTTTAGATCAGTGATTCTCAGCACCTCAAGAATTTAAAATTTTTTTTTAATGCTCATGTGTAATCCTGCTCCAATGAAAATTCAGAGTGTACATCCTATCTAATAGAGATGGAATATGCTAATTGATCCTCACACTGTCACAAAAGATGGCAGCACCTACAGTGAATACTAAGGGAATATGCTAATTGACTGCCTCATTCTCAAAGATGGCTCCCATAGCCAATAAGGAGGGAATATGCTAATTGACTGCCATGCCCTCAAAGATGGCAGTGCCCATAGCCACAAGATGGTGGCACCCAGATCCCTGAGACCTGCCAGGGTGGCAGGTGCACAGCAAGGCCGGGCCCGCCTACCTCCGGAGTCCCTCAAGCCCTTTAGCCCCCAGCTGCCCAGGGTTGGCCCAAGGTGCAGGCAAGCCTTGGGTAGCAGCTGCCCAGCCACCCAGGGCCGCCTGAGGCTCAGGTAACCAGGGCCAACTGCAGCTTGTGCTGCCGGCAGTGGCAGCAGCAGAGGTGTGATGGGAGCGTTGCATTCCCTGATCGCCAGGTTGCCTCCTGCCCCTGAGGGCTCCTGGACTGTGAGAGGGGCAGGCCAGGCTGAGGGACGCCTCCCTCCAGTGCATGAATTTTCATGCATGGGACCCCTAGTTTTTATAATAAAGGCTCTGATAAATCCTGCACTAAACAAAAGCATTGATCTGGAGGAAAAAACAAACACAAAAACAACCATGCAATACCAGGGGCACTGACCTCTTTTTCATTAGATTTCCACAGCCAACACAACAATAGCTGTCCTATGTGAATGAATCAAAATTATACCTATATTTCTGTCAGATCAGCAAAACATACAATATATATATATTTTTTGGTGTGCTGCAGAATTTTAGTAATTAGTTTATGTGTGCCCTGAGATGAAAAAGATTGAAAACCACTGCTTTAGACAGAGATGGAGGAAAACACTTTTGTTTTCCTTCACTTCCCAGCCCGGGGACACCCCACCACATACCCATGGCCAAGCCACTGTGGCTCCTGGGGACCGCACAGCTCATCACTGTGTGACCTTGGTCCCGTCTCCCCCTCGGCAGTTGCTGGGGCATGCTGCTCATCTGTCATGACATCGGTACCCATTTCCACCTTGTAAACTTTCTTAATATAATTCCTCCGAGTTTCTCTTTGAGCTTCTGCTTCCAATGGTCTCAAAATCCCACAGTCCTGTTTGAAGAATGACCTGCTTCCTATAACAGTGCCTCCTGGGGAAGAGAGAGGAGGTGGAGTGGAGGGTTGGGAGCAGGGCAGCAGCTTGGAGTTGGAACATTTTCCGAGACTGGTGTTTCCACTCTCTGGCTAGTTATTTCCCTTCTGTGAGTGCTAGTTTCCGTGTCTGAGAAATGAGGATAGAAAAGCTTCCTTACCTCATGCTGTTGTTATGGAGTTCTAGTGAGGTATCGATCATCACCACAACATTAGCTGCAAACACTGTATTGAGTGCTTAGGTTGGGCTTGGCCTAAGGCTTCAGCCCTCCTCCTCACAGGTACCATTGTCCCCACTTTACAGGTGGGAAAACTGAGGCTTAGCTAGTAATGGACCTGAAGCCAAGTGCATGGTAGGGCTGAGATTCAGAAGGATGGAGGCAAAATGTGCTGCAAATTGTGAACGGAAAGGAAAATGTCAAAGGTGAAAATTATTGCATTAAATCAAAGTGGACTCAACTCAGATTAAATTTTGCTTGGAAATGTTCTCTGGGGTTTGCTTAGTACTAAGTGACATGGTTAAGAGCATGAACTCTGAAGTCAGATTGGGCTTAAAACTAACCAGTTGTGTGACCTTGAGTGAGTGAGTTACTTGCCCTCTCTAAGCCTCAGTGTACTCGTCTGTAATCTGCAGTGATAATAATATTATTGGTATTACAAATAGTAATTGTAACAATTCTATAACATCTGATCATTCACAGTGATTAATAGTAACAGATCCTATAGCTTATTGTAATGATTAAATTAGTCCCTATCAAGTGCTTAAAAGACTAAGAGTTTACTATTATCATTTTGTTACTCCCTTTTCTTCCCATGTCTCTGTTTCATTGTCCAGATGGGGGCCTCTTCCTTTTCCTGTTGCCGTCCTCCAGCAAGCATCACTGGGGTCTTGAGGAATCTAATCAAGTGGTGTTCCTACCCAGTGCACCCTCTTCATGCCCCAAATGGGCATATTCCCTGAAAAGTTTGCTATTTTCCTTCCCCAGGGAGCAGGGCCAGCGGGACCCTATGCAGCTCTTCTTGAAGCCTAAAGAGCCTCCCAGCCAGCCTCGAGGTGCTGGCTTCCTCTCACTACTCTGCCTCCTGCAATCCCAGCCTTTTCCGGGTCTTCTGAGTTATAGGATCTCCCAAAGATAGGGGCT